CAGGCGCTTTACGCTCTTGTTTCTTGCACCGCGACCTTGCAAATTCTTGTACGCTCACATTTATTTTACAACGACTCACTGTCTTCTGGCCTGCAACTGGAATATGGCACAGTGTTGGGCGCGCTGTTGGGCGTCTCCACCCAAATCCGCAGTCACCGCCTGCTTCCTCCTTATTCCATGTCATCGGAGCGGGCTCAATTGATGAGTATGTTTTCCACTGAGGTGGATGATCATTCAAAACAGATATCTGATTTACAGTTTCAAATGCAAGCGTCCTGCGCCGGAAACAAACGCATTATCCTGGCGCTTCTGCAAGCCAAGGTGTCACGTGAGCCAACGCTTCGCTATATTGGTACTGCCCTGCGGCTGAATGCAGGATACACCAAAACAGTGCATCATAATTTGCCCTTATCCTCGCGGTATTTCATGACTCAGTTGAATGATGTGCTCTTGGAGGCTGCCCTTCCTTTGTTTGAAAAGGCCTACGATCCCACCACTATTCCTCCCTTCTATGTACTGGAGGACAATGCGGACAACACAGTGGTGGATTTTGGCGAAGATGTGGAGCGCATTGTCCACTACGATGAGAGCCATCCCCTACCTCCATTTCCCGCACTGAGTGAGCCATTCAAGCCTTCGGTGCATCTGTTCTTTCTCGTTGCTCGTTCGATCATGTTGAGCGCGGGAGTAATGATTGAGACTCATCAGCGAGTTGAACAAGATTTGGCGCATCCACAGTTGCCACCTGAGCAACGTGCAGTGTATGTGGCGGAGAAGTCACTCATTGAGGGGCTGATCGGCTCCGAGAATCTCGGCCGAAAACGTGTGCAGGTTCTTAACGGCATCGCCGCCTGGCTTGTGAGGCTCATGAATGTCTCACCGGGCGGGGTACTCTCAAAGGAGCCGCCAGAAGAATGGAAATATTTGCCCCAGCAACTGGTGGATTTGGTCATCCTGGGCGTAAAAATGGCGCCGCTGGAATACTTTGATCTGGAGCACATTGTTTCCTTGATGCTGGTACTGATGGGTAACACAACCTATTTCCCCAAGCCACATACACACGCTCTTTTTCCATCTTTCCTAACCCGTCTGCTGCAAAATGAGGAGACGAAACGAGCCCTGACATCGCATCGATGGTTCACGCAGCACATTGTTCGGAGTTGTGTTTTATGTTATATTGCCGTGGAGAAGTCTACATATGAAAAAGTCTCTGTGCGTTATATGCTCTCTTACTGTACAAAGTCGTTCCTCATGTTTGACTCGTTGTGTCAGCCTGTCCGTGAGGAGTTTGAGGTGGATGGCACCATATTGGAACGGTTTTCACACATGGTGACTGCGGATGTCAACGAGGCTGTTGACCAACTCGTTGAGACGCTTACGCAGATGAATCGAATGGTAAAGGAGGGGGCGGATTTGAGTGTGAGCGCCCGTGCGTCTCTCAGCAACAACGGTGAAAACATTCGCAGGGGCAACGCACAGAGAAGACAAGAAGGAATGGCGACGAGCAACAGCAATAACAATAACAACCAGAACAACAATTTTCGGAGCGCAGATGGAAACGTAAACGAGGAGGAGGCGGAGGCCGACGGTGATGACGGTGAGGCGCCGCTGACGTACCATCAGCTGGGCTTGGGACTGCGGGAACGAATTCTTCTTTTTGAGGCAAGCATGAATTTGTTTATTCAGCTGGCCATCAGCTTCTCGAAAGGTGTGGCGCAGAACATGGTGGCGCAGCAGATCAGCCAGATGTTGGCTCGCAGCCTTGTTAGTTTTGCTGGTGCCGAGAGCAAAAACTTGAAGATTGAGTACCCCGAACGCTACAACTTTCGTCCCCGCGAGATTCTCAACCGCCTGGTGGATTGTTTGTCACAATTTCGACGTTTTCAGAACTTCATGCGCTCCCTGTGCAACTGCGGCGTCCCGCTGAGAGAAATTCTACAGGCGATAGAAACGGTGACGGAGCGTGGCCTGGTGGGCGAGCACCTCATCTGGAAGCTGAGGGAAATTGCGTCGACTCTCGAGACCATCTCTCAAGAAGTTCAGGACGACGAGGCGCTGTGGGATGAGGCGCCGGACTTTGCGGTGGACGCATTGCTGCTGACGCCACTACTACATCCGGTGGCGCTTCCAGCCGACGTGAAGGACCTGAACGATCTTGTGTATGTGAACGAGGACACAATCCATCATGTCCTTCTCTCTGAGAGCAAGCATCCCTTCACGAAGGAATATCTGGACGAGAACATGGTGAAGGAGTTTAACGCACGGGAGGATGTCACGGAGGCTCGAAGGAATCTGCAGGATCGCATTGCGAAGTGGATGAAGGCGGCAAAGGAGAAACGCTAGGATGGAATGTTTTTTGTCTGCGCTTTTTTTTGGTTGGCATGGCCAATTGACTGTACAAGCAGATCTATAATTTGATGTGAACGTGGCTTTTTCCTCTTTTTTGTTCCTGGAGGCAGGGGTGCTGGTGTCGATTATCTTTTTTTTCCTCTCTCGTGCCCCGGGCCCGGGCTACACGCATATGTAGGCGCCAGGAGACATGATGATGTGGTGGTGTTGAGTGGGGGATGAGAGCAGCCGTCTTTTTTGTTTTTCTCCGTTTCTTTTTCTTTTAGTGTTTGCTGCTTGGACCATTTTCATTGAAGCGCAAACACCAGCCAACACTCGAGAGGAAAATAACAGTCAAGGAAGGAAAAGAAAAGAAGAACAACTCAACAACAACAAAACAAAACAACAGAAAGAAGGAAAGAAAGCATGAGTAGCGAATGGAGCAGTGCGAGGATTTTACTTAAAAAAAATGCCTTTTTTTTTTTCTTTTCTATGAGCCGAAACGTGACCGCCTCCCACCTTTCCGTTTCTTTGTGTCTACATGTTTGTCTGTCTCTGCATGTGCTTTGTTGTCATTATCCCCCTCACTTTTTCACCGCCCCCTTTTTTTCTTGTTTTGACGCGTGTAGTCTTTGTTCCCCACCCGTCGCCCACAGTCGTGGAAGGGAAAAAAGTCTAAAAGAAAAGGAAAGGCGTCCGGAATTTTTCTTTTTTCTTCTTTTTGTCCCTGGAGGGGGAAGCGTCTTTCTTTTTATTTCATGTTTTTTGTGGACCGTTGTTGGCTTGGGCGATGGGGCCACCGCGACTTCTTGCGTGGGCGAACCAAACGCGCTGGGGCTATTCATACCCGTCACACACACGGCAGCCAAGGACGGTACAAGCGTCTGTCGGATAACTTTGGTTTGCGTGACGGTCGCCGGCACGCGTGGAATCATATGAAGGGTGGTCTGGGCGTCAAGCTGGGCGGTGGACTGTTTGGTCTGCGCATTCCGCGTCAGCACGCTCTCTCCAGCATGTCGCGGGAGGAGTACGAGGTTGCCATCCACGGCCATCCTAACATCACAAATCCCTATCGACATTGCATGTATGAGCACCCGGACTTGAAGGGCGTGATGCGAAATGCGTCTTTGGATGTACATGTGGTGCTGCTTATGCCCCGAGTACCGCGTGTCACTACGACTGCTGTGGCGGAGGAAGTGCCTCCGTTATGGGATGAGTTGCTTCATCATTTGGGCGAGAACATCCGGACGGAGTGTTGGTCGTCGGGTCACAGCGACAGTATTAGTAGTAGTATTAGTACTAGTAGCGTTAAGACTTATTTTGCAACGTTGTCTTCCTCCGTTTTGTGTCGTGATGCAACACACGATGCATTGCGCGGTGCTGCGGCATCTCTCTTTAAGGATCTCATGAGGGGTGCGAAACTTCGTCCACCATCTTTTGAGGTTTTGGGAAGAAGACACGAAACGAGACGCATACCATTACTTGGCGCTTCCTTTTCGACGTCTGCGGTGCTTCCAACGAGGACTGGCGCTGCGATAACGTCTTCCACATTGCTGTTGCGCATGAGACAAGGAGAATTGCCCCGGAATGCTTCACATGATTGGGAGAAGAGAGGGCTTGTGTGCTGTTCAGTGAGCCCGTCCATGCCTGTTGCTGTGACCTCCTCCAGCGGTGTTGTCCAGCGTGGAGTGCAACAGCTTCTGCGGGATCTGCGACAGTCATGTCCCCATGCCCTAAATTTGTGTATTCGTCTGGAGGAATTTCTACCCGCAGGGGATGAGGAGGCCGAGGGGCATGCGGCAAAGACGACACCGGCAAATTCCCCTCGGAAATTGTTGCGGGAGGAAATGGACCCAGACGAGGTCGGCGTGTGGAAGAGACCTGCAGCGACGGTTGATGCCCTCATGCGATGGCAATATTTTAACTGGGATCCTCGTGCACACAGCAAGGATGAATTGCCACACCACAGAAGGTGTCAGTCTGTGCACATCTTCGTGGACGCCTCGAGGATAAAAGGGAAGAATGCTTCTTCCACGACGGATTTAGCCGGCACTCGACGCCACTCCGCAGCGCGCTCGTTGATGCCTCCACGGTTTTCGGAGAAGTTAGAGGAGATGAACTTTAAGCGTGTGAGCCACAGGGGCCTTGCTGAGACGTTTGCGGCGCTGCGGAGGTGGTCGGTGGATTCTCACTGGCATGCCATCGAAGGGCGGAGAAGAACACTTTACGGGAGAAGCGAATAAACATTCCCATTTGCACTGATACTCAGTCACTTGGAAAAAAAAGAAAAGGGGATAAAGGTGATCCGAATTCATTTCATGTGACTCTCAGGCGACGCATTGATTGGGGCGGAGTGGGATAGAGGAAGGCAGGAGGATATACTTTTATTTTGATTTATACATCAAAATGCGCGGACCTGTGGCTGATTGATGACTCTCTGCGCCGTGCCAGTGCCGGTTTGTTTCGCACGGTGATGGTCTTAAAATTTTTTTTTATCTTTATTTTTTATTTTCATTTTTTGCTTTTGGGAAGAGTTGTACGCGTAATTGAAGGGAATTGTGTGGGTGTGGGTTCTCGGCGAGGTCGAGACACCGGTCAGAGGTTGCTCTGGAGAGATAAGGGTTTTTGTTCGCTGGCTGGGGGCGTGAGTGCAGATTGGGAGGCGCTGCGCAATGTACAGTGGTACTTTTTGCGGGACTTTGGGACGCACTCTTTCATTACTGCCGCAGCGGTGGTGCTGTGTGACTCCGCATAGCAGCTTGCATGTGGCTGTGCGGCTTGTGAGCAGCTCGGGCATTCCGATTGCAAATTACTACAAGCGCCTCGGCGTCGACTGCGCGGCAACGGCGGAGGAGATGAAGGCCGCGTACCGGCGCCGCGCACTGGAATGCCACCCTGATGTGGTGAGCGACGATCAAAAGGCACGGGCGGAAATGGAGTTTCGCGCCATTTCTGAGGCATACGACGTGCTGATGGATCCTCAAAAGCGTTCAGAGCATGACAAGTCCCTTGGACTGGATCGGGTGGCTTCGCAAAAAACAACGGCAGAGAGGCAAGGCTCGGCGGCAGCAGAAGCGTCGACCTCCTCCAGAGTTTCTTCGACGCGTCGTCGGAAGCCGTTTGTGCGCGGTGATGCGGAACGCAAGTTTCGTGAAGCGTTTCATGGCATGTCTATTGATCAGGTCATATTTCAGGAGCGATTGCGGCAGCGCCGGGAAGGTAAAAAGCAGCATGGGGAGGCGGCGTCTCCTTCTTCTCGCGAGGAGTCGTTTCGGCGTGTTCTGGTGGATGCCGCGGAGCGATTCTCTGAAAAGGTGCGGCGGCAGTACGGTCCCAGTATGTTGCGGCACGTGAAGTTGCAGTCGGTGCCACCTAGTGGCCCACGGCCGCCGCCCTCTGATTACATGCCATTTCGCCCGTTTTATGGCTGGTTTGCGCCAGAGGGCGTCCGCACAGTGCCCGAGCCAAGGATGGGCCCCACATCACACGTAAATGAGGAAAATGTGGAGTTCGAGGGGCCATCGACACCTACGCGGAGGGATCTGCCGAAACATTTCCCGACCGTGAGAGCGTTGGATGGCTCTGTCATGAGTCGGGCCGATGCGATGCGGCACCTCGAGAGAGAACGAAATGCGCCGTATAATATGGGGAAACTGTACTCGTACCACCGACCATATTGACATGTGTCATCATTCCTTATTCCCGTGTTTAAAGTGGACAATCTGGGTCTGTGTGCTCTGGTGTTGGTGGGAGACGAGTCGCGTATCCTCTGAGAGAAATACGCAGATTTATTCCTATTGTGTTTGCGTGGTTGGAGAGAATTACATGAATTTATTTTTAAAAAGCGTCTAAGTCTGCTTTTTTTTTTTTTGTGTGTGTGTGTGTTGTTGGACCATTTTTTTCTTTTTTTCTTAAGCCTTTAGGACTCCCACCCCATCCGCTTACGAGCAAACACCGAAGGGCACGTTCATACACGCGAGTTGAGTCGATACACGACTTAAAATCAACAAGGGGAAGCAAAAACATAGGAATAAAATTGTACAACGAATACGCAAACAATGCGCCGTCATGCTTTGAAGCGTGTCATGATGTCTGTCCCGGCTGCATCGGCCATCGCCGCGCCAAACCGAGGCATTTTCACTGCATGGGGGTCTATTCCGCTTGAGGCCTGGGCGTCGCAGGAGCCCTGGCTAACGCGCATCAGCAGCATGTCAAAGTATCGTAGCTTTGAGTTTTTTCATGTGCCGGAGGTTGAGGCCCCGGAGGACGTTCAACTCTCTGCGGTGGAGAAGTACCTGCTCAGTTGCGTGGAGGACGACACCAACCGTCTGCTGAATTTATCCTGGACTTATGGTTTTGACTCCTTCTGGAGCGACCGCGTGTACTCCCATGACGTCCTCTTTCAGATTTTGTATCAGCACAACTACCCTATCTACAAGTTCTTTTTTGGCGACTGCTCGAGCAACGAGGAAGGACGAAAATATATTGAGAAGAAACTGAATTATCTTAAGTCCGTGTTGCAATGGGCAGTGATGACGGAGAGGTGCTACACGACCATTGCGAAGGCCAGATTCACGCTGCAGCGTGAGGTCTGGAATTCGTTGGAGCGTGAGCGGTACTTAATGGGATGCGTGGAGGCCCTGGAAGAATTCAAGAAGGAGGTGCCGAGGGAGTTTGCCGAGAAGGCCATTGGGGAACTTGAAACCGAACTCAGCTCCGTGCGGCACTGGGTGTGGGACTGCCCCAATGCGAAGCGATTATACAAACAACTGTCATGAGCGAGGACTGGAGGGACCGGGTGGGTGGTGCGTTGCAATTTTGCGCAGGGAGGAGGAGGGGGAGAGCAGCATACAAGCAAAAATGTAGTATTTTAAAAAATAATGAGTGGAGGGCGGAAGGAAAAGGAAAAGGAAAAGAAGGGTAAGGGGAAAAAAGAAATGTAAAGAGAGCCATGTATGAGTGGTGAGGGGGAATGTGGTGTCGCGGTGTAGAAATTTACGTGTGCGGTCATGAAGAGCGTATTTTTTTTCTTATTTGTTCCCTCCCCCCCCTTTTTTTTTTTTGCTCTCTTTCTTTTACTTTTAATTGTCACTTTCTTCTTGGATTTTTTGTCTTTTTTTTTTTTTTTTTTGATATTTCTGCACGCCTTTTTTTTCTTCTTTTCGAAGGGGTAGGCAAGCGGAGCCAGCACCATCGCATCGGGGGCGGCTGGGGTTGTGACTGCCGTTTTTTGACTTCTTGACAGCACCGTGGCGTTTTTTTTTTCCTTCTTTTTTTCCCCCATGGACAAGCAGGCAGGCAGAGAAGACACAGATGAGAGGTGAATTGTCTCGTTGTATACGTGCAATTGCGGCGCGCAGCTGCCCAAAATTTCTTTCTCTGCATTCTGGTGTGGGTACCTCGCCTGCTGGTGGAATAGCATCACTTGTTTGCTCACAAGAGGGGGAAGACATGATGTCTTTTGGTCTCTCATGTGCACATCGCTTCTTCTTTTGCCAAAAGAGGGGACGTGGCGCTGCTGTTGCTTCCACTTCAATTGTGGGTGTTCGCCGTTGGTTCTGCGGCCAAATGCCGAGTCTGGCGGTTGGTGCTGTGGGTTGTGCTGCGCTCCGTCTGCAGTGCTGTTGCTCGCACATTAGCTCCTTCAAGCAGGAGGGATATTACCGCTTTGCACAGCTGCGCGACATACAAATAGATGCAAACTGCTACAGTTTTCTCATGGTGCGTGGCGGTGGGCCTGGGGGTCAGGGGGCAAACAGCAGCAGCAACAAGGTGGAGCTGCGTGCCAGCATCGTTGCCCTTAGTGAACAATTTGACGGGGAGCTCATTCAAAGACTGAAGGAAAACGAGCGTGGCAAGGCGCTTACCGCGGACGAAGCGCTGATCGTCATTTCAAGCCATGACTACCGCAGTGCGCATCAGAACAAGGAGGTCTGTCTGCGGCGTCTGCGGGAAATGATTCAAAGAGCCTCATGGGTGCCGCCGTTGGAGAAGAAACCCATCGAGCGCCCCACAACGATCATAACGGCGCAGAAGGCGGAGCGGCGAAAGAAGGGCTCGATGAGGAAGATGCAACGAACAGCACGTAAGGGCCTCTGGTGATGAATGGAGCTTGCACGCCATTCAATTCCTTCTTTTTTTATTTTTATTCATCTTCTTATTTTGTCATCAGTCCACTTTTCATTGTATCTTTTATTCCTTTGGGTTTATTACTATTTTCTTCTTTTTTTTTACTCCCGCCATCCGTGGCGGGCTCAACAGCGGAAAGGAAACTTGCGATCCATTGAGTGTAAGAGGCGGGTGCGCATTCATCCGTTGCTGGGGGTTGTGGGGGATGCTGAGGCGGTTCTCGCGACGTCTTGCGCCGCGTGCAAAGCACCACGATGAGTTGGTGAAGATGTGGAGGGAAAGCCCGCGGGGGGTGGACAAGGCCAGTGAGGAGAGCGGACTGCGCTTCCGCGACACCCGACCAACCCCGCAGAATGAACCCGATGATGCAAAGCGTCGTCGTCTCATCTACCAATCCGCGTACCGCGGCATGGTGGAGATGGATATCATTCTGGGCGCGTTCTCCCGCCACAGTCTTGAGGGCATGCCACGCGAGCAGCTGGACGAGTATGACACGATTCTCCGACACTTTGATAGCGATTTGTTCAAGTGGCTTGTGATGGACGAGAAGCCGCCTGCATCCGTGGCATGTATGTCAACATACAAAGTACTGCAGGAGTTCGTGAAGGGTGGGCGGGAAAGGCTGCTAGGCCAGGCTGTGTAGCAAACTTTGTCCGCTGCACATATGGAAATATGATGCCCGAAAGGAGTCCACAGTGAAATAAGACAAAAAAAGAAAGAAAAGAAAAAAGGCAAAAACAAAAAAATGACTGAAATAAACAACAACAAAAAAAGACGTCTGTGACAGTTTCAACGTGTGAGGGAACGAAGTTGCGTGTGGCTTGTGTGCGGGAGGGGAGCGGCAGTTTTTTGACCTCTTTTTTGGTTTGTGACCCTTTCACGCGTAGTGCTGACGCTGCGTTGGCTACGAGCACTGCGGTTTGATGCCGCAGCGGGTTGTTGTTGCCTTCTCTTCTGTGGCCACCCTTTTTTTTTCTCCCTCTTATTTGCATTTTTTTATTATTATTAGGAGCTTGTGAAAAGAATGATCGCGGGAGAGCTGGCTAACCTAATGAATGTATGTGTATATCCTGATAAACGAAGGCATTCTTTATGATACTTTCCACCGTATGAATCTTTTGGGAAGAACGCGACTTTGTAGGGGCAGGGAGCCGATAGAGGCCAGATAATATTTGTTTTGCCATCCCACCCTAACCCCCTTTTGATTCCCACCACGCGGCGGGGTCTTGTGGCTGGAGGACCCCAAAGTCTGCCACTTCGTAAGTAATAATATTCAAATCCTAACTGAGGGCAAGGACCATGCTGGTGGTGCACAGAATTCTATATATTGAATGGAAATAAAACATTCAAACAATTAACTAACGAACTCTTTTTCCTAACTTGTTTGGTTTCCATAGATAATTTCAGGATCCGGCCAGCTGCCCGGAAGATTATTCCGGTTTCTTTTGCTTGTTGTGTCTGTTGTGGATTCCGTCATTTGTATGTGATCTCCCTTTCCAACACATGTCTTTTTCTTTGGTATGTTCGCTCTTTGCGTGTCCGCAGTGTACATCTTTGAAATGGGCGCATCTTTGATCGAATATTTTTATTTTTATTTCTCCATCTTTTTTGTTGTTATTGTTATGTGAATACATGCTACACATTCACCACAAGGAGCGGGGGAAAAATGGCACCCAACATCATGGATGACTTGTCAGTCTACGGGAACGGCCGCAGGAAGAAGCCTCCTTTCAGCTACACACCGAATCTGGTGTGTCTGCCAAATCACATTGTATCAAAGCATGTGAGTATGTGCATGGATGAGGAGACGACCGAGTGGCTGAGGCTCGCAGGTGATGTGAGCGTCATGAAGACGTTACTGTCCGGTATTTTGCGCGCCTTTTTTTCCCAAACAACATCCAACGGGATACTGAACCGCGGCGGCATGTTTGTCATGTCTACGGCACAGGCTGCGCAGCTGCTGTTGGGCAACGGGAATGACCAGCGCAGCTCAACGTCACCGCCGTTTGGGACACTTTTGGATATCGGCGCCGGTGATGGCGGCGTCACATCACGGCTGCAGCCACTGTTCCAGCACGTAACAGTCACCGAATATTCGATTCCCATGCGATGGCGTCTGTGGCAGCGTGGCTACGAGGTGCTTCCTTACCAAGATCCGTTTAGGCACAAGGATGGCTCTCGGCGGTACTACGATGTAATTGCATGCCTCAATGTCTTGGATCGCGCCGATAAGCCACTTGAGCTGCTTCAGTCTATGCGTGACTCGCTATCGCCCAATGGAATACTTCTTCTTGCGGTTGTTTTGCCGTGGTGCCCCTTTGTCGAGAATGGAATCAGGCAGCGACGCCCTACGGAGACACTGCCAATGGAGGGAGGCGAATGCTGTCGAGGCGCAAGTTACGAGGATTCTCTTCAACGTCTTGTGGATAATGTCTTAATTCCCTGTGGATTTAAATTGGATCGCTGGTGCAAGTTGCCGTACTTCTGCGAGGGTAATCTCAGGGTGGAGTACGCGGTTCTTCATGATGCGGTCTTTGTCCTTACAAGGAGTGACGGGGACGCATCCTCCGCGGAAAAAGAACACGAGCACAAAGAAGGGACAGATGCATGAATGAAGGCTTGAGAAACGGAGGATGCATGTATCCCAGACGTTGTTTAATATCTAACCACGACATGGTTTTTATTATCTCAGGTCTTTTTTATTCTTATGCCTTTTTTTTTTTTTGTTAGTCTACCCTACTATTCAAGGTTGTCTTTTTGCAAAAAGGACCAGAAATGGCGCAAGAGGAGGGGGTGTTTTTGTTATTATGCATGTTTGTCTCCCCTCACCCCACTCTTTTTTTTTTTTTTTTGCAAAAACAAAATGAAAAAGAAAAACAACAACAGAAACTTTGACGGGACCACACAAAGACGTTTGAATTTATTTATTCATTTATTTTTCTTTGTGTTGTTGGTGTTGTTTTTGTAACTCTCTGAGCAATGACTGCCTTCTCTTCTCGTTTTCTGTGTGTGTCCACCGTTGTTCTTGACTGGTTGTCCAAATGGTGCAGATTCTTCAGGTTTTTTTTTTCTCTTAAGGGTTTGTAGGGATGAGTGGGCCACTGCAGAAGCCCGGGGGTTTTATTCCACGACCGCCAGGGATGCCGCCGCTGCCACCCGGCTTTAAAATACCGCCGGGCATGACGCCACCGTCCGCGCCGCCCATGCCGCCAGGAATGGCTTCCATGCCACCCAACATGCGTGTGGGGGCGCCGCCACAGCCAAGAATACAGGTTGGGAATGACGGCTCTGCTGGTGTTGCGCCGCCCGTGCCGATGCCTCCCGGTGGATACACCATGCCCCCAGGTCGTTATCCACAGCCACCTGCTCACTTGGTTCCAAGACCGCGGGGGGACGTGGAACACGGATTTCAGAATCATCAGCAATTGCTTCCGCCTGGTCTCGTGCGTAACCCAAATGAGATGTATGCGGCAAGAGATGACCACGCCCCGGTGTTGTTGCCCGGTGCTGATCCGCATGGGTATCCGGCATCATCCTACCCCCAAGGGCCGTATGGAGGGGCTGTGGGACCTGAGGCTGGGGATCATCGGGGTGGGCACCTTTACAGGGGCCGACGAGAGGATGAATTACGAGAACCAACCAACACCGTCTGGGTAGGAAATCTTGATTTGCACGAGCATACTGAGGAAGCCTTGAGACGCGAATTTTCTGAATTTGGAGGGGTCATACGTATTGCAAGGGTTCCGGATAAGAGTTATTGTTTTGTGCACTTTCGTTATGTTGAGGAGGCTCGGAACGCTGTGGAGGCACTCAGTGCACGAGGTTCTTTGGGCAGAGCGCGATTCAACTATGGAAAAATGTTTGAGTATACACAGGAGGAGTTGGAGATGCCCAGAGATGTCACCGGTCACAGGCCTTCTCGCCGAGGACGTGAAGAGGATCGACACGATAACGATGATAGGCGGCGTCGATCCCGCCGGGAGGAAGAACGCATGGAACCCACAAACGTTTTGTGGCTGGGCGATTTGCCTCCTACCGTCTCTAATGAAGAGTTAAATGAGAACTTTAAGGTGTTTGGTAAAATTAAGACCATTTCACGCTTGGATAGCAGGAACATGGCATTTATCCACTTTGAAACCATTGAGGATTGCACACAGGCTTTGGACTTGATGCGGGATCAGCCTATTGGCGGAGCGCGGGTGGTATTAAACTACGGTCGGGCGCAGCGTAACCAAACCTCCACGGAGACAGGCTTGACACCAGATGGCATTCCAGTCAATGAAACTCCCACC